ACAGCATTGGGTGACTCTATCTGGTATCATCCACCCAAAAACCTGAACAGCAGTTGGGGTGGACAGTTCCTTTAAATAAAGCCTAACATGCTGCTACAATGTTGGCAGGGCACTTTGGTATACACATATCACCAGCCACTTCAGTAGCTACACCCGTAATGGTTGGCCTTCAGTAATAAATGCATTGCTTAAGAATAAATACCATCAATTATACATTAAGATAAAGTATGTGTACATTTCAGCTAAAACTTTACATATTTACATATCAAAATGCCCTACAATGGAATCAGAATTCATTTTACTACATTTCATTTAGAAGAGGCACCTATGAAGACTCCGGAGAGCAGAGTCATCTATTCTAGTCCTGTCCTGTCCAACACTACATCATTGTTGGGTCTGGATGTAGCTCTTGGGCTGCTGACAGGATGAATAGCACCGGCATTCTTTGGCTGTCAGCAGCCTCTTACACCCCTAATGTAAACATTTCCTCTACATGACATTCCAAGTAGCTGCCTCCCCTAATAGCTCTTAACCTCCAGCAAGGGGCAGAGCTACACTGCTCGTCTGTTGGCATAATCCAGTGTGTATCTGGGAGGATGTTTGTTTTTATTATTAAGATGTACAATATTACTTTTCAGTCAAATCGAAGCAAAACAGGAAAGTGAGAGAAAGTTTCGGCTTTTGACTTTTTTTTTGTATTTTGGTTTTATGATGCTGATAAATATAATGTGTATTTCTGGTTTGTGAAACCCAACTAACTGTGTTTTTTGAACTTGTTACATAATAAAGGTCTCTGAATCTGACATGTTTTGTGTGTGTTTGGAATACTGGATATTGATGTCAAGGTTAGGTGCACCTTTAGCAAAAAATGTTCTATGCATTCCAGCATCCCCACTACATTAAAAAAAAAAAAACCTTGTCATGCACACCCAAGGCTAAACAAAAAACAACCCCCTTCCATTGGAAGCTCACCCCAGCAATAACCCTTTACCTCACTGAATTCAGACACTCACCTACCACCATTTACTATCTACACTGCCCACCCAAAAAAAACTCACACACTGTAATATTTATTTGGACCTTTAGCTTTGATCACGGCACACATTCACCATGGCATTATTTCAATAAGCTTATACAATGTCACAACAATTATTTCTGTCCAGCATTAATTTTTCACCAAGATCTTGTAGTGATGATGGGAGAGTCGGAGCACTGTGTAAAGTCTTATCCAGCACATGCCAAAGATTCTCAATGGAGTTAAGGTCTGCACTGTGTGGTGGCCAATCCATGTGTATAAATTATGTTTCATGCTTCCTGAACCACTCTTTCACAGATGGATCCTGACATTGTCATCTTGGAATAAGCCGTTGCCATCAGGAAAGAAAAAAACCATTAATGGAATAACTTGGTCATCCAGTATATTCAGGTAGCCAGCTGAGCTCATTTTTTGGAGACATAATGTGGCTGAACCTAGACCTATTATCCAATGGAAGGCTCTGACCTGTTTGTGTAGCTATATATATATATATATATATATATATACATACATACACACACACAGTATATACAGTATATACATTTGATGTTGATAAGGAGAAGTGTACACTGTCCGGTATCATGCAGATTTGTAATTCTCTACCCTCACCTGAAAAACAGTGCCCACACCATGTCTGGGCATAAAGAATAATGGCCATCCAAGGATTACATAACAGTAGGGAGATAGAGTTAGTTATTTTCTATGGCCAGGTCCTAAGACCCAGAGGATAGGGAAGGTACGCCAGCCTTAGGGGTTGAGATTTACTATAGACAAATGGACTGTTCACTCTGCAAGAGAATTTTCCTTTAGCTTAGAAATTGAGATGAAAATTAACTTTACAAAGAATCCCCTATCAGGTGCAACGAAACGGTATTTTTGCTTGCACATTATTGGACGTCAGCAGAGCTTCACCACATTTGCTAAGCTAAGAGAAAATTTCCTTGCAAAATGAACAATCTATTTGCCTTTAGTAGAGCTGGCCACCCAAAGCTCTAGTTTCGGCTGATTCCTGCTGAATTGGCTGATATTCAAGCTGTGGGTGGTCCTGTCAATTTTGCATTTTTTGTGAAATTTTGACTTTTGTAGAAATTTCTTTGCTCCTTGGCTCAATCTAGTGGTGGGAATGCCGTGCAAATAGCATTCATCCAGCATATGGCTGGGCGGAAGGGTTTTATATAGACCCTGAAAATGTTTGTTCATTGTGAAGCAGTAAAAAAAAAAATAATTACTAATATCCCCTAGCAGAAACAACATACATTTTAAAAATAAATCAGTCCATAATTTAAGAAGTAGACAGTTCCAATCAATAGAAATGTGTTCCAGGCAACATTCACAGTCATAATATACAGCGTGCCTCAACCCAAAATTGAAAAAAAAAAATAGCTTAAAAATGGGCGTTCCAGTGCATTTGCCTGCACTTTTAATGCGTTTACATGCGTTCCAGTGCATTACAGACCAGAGAAAATAAGACAAGCAGTATTTTTGTGTCTGGACCAGAACAGACTGCACTGGTGTAAAGAGAGCCCAGAAATACCATAGGAATACATTGGGATGCTTTTCTGGTCCGGGAACAAACTGTTCTGGTCTGGACATGGTGTGAACAAGCCCTAAATGTGGATTGCAACACATATGATCATTGACTGGAACACCGTTTATTTATTTGTTACTTCATGGACCAACATAAATATGTATGTGTGTGTGTGTGTGTGTGTGTGTGTGTGTGTATATATTTATTCAGGCAAATAAAAAAATATAAGCTCTTACAAACTTGCTGTTTTCTAAACCAGGAAAAGACTAGCAGATAGGAGAATTCGAAGACACATTATACACCTCTCATTGTTCTATGACCTAAACATCACCATATTTTATATATATATATATATATATATATATACATACATACACACACACAGTATATACAGTATATACATTTGATGTTCATAAGGAGAAGTGTACACTGTCCGGTATCATGCAGATTTGTAATTCTCTACCCTCACCTGAAAAACAGTGCCCACACCATGTCTGGGCATAAAGAATAATGGCCATCCAAGGATTACATAACAGTAGGGAGATAGAGTTAGTTATTTTCTATGGCCAGGTCCTAAGACCCAGAGGATAGGGAAGGTACGCCAGCCTTAGGGGTTGAGATTTACTATAGACAAATGGACTGTTCACTCTGCAAGAGAATTTTCCTTTAGCTTAGAAATTGAGATGAAAATTAACTTTACAAAGAATCCCCTATCAGGTGCAACGAAACGGTATTTTTGCTTGCACATTATTGGACGTCAGCAGAGCTTCACCACATTTGCTAAGCTAAGAGAAAATTTCCTTGCAAAATGAACAATCTATTTGCCTTTAGTAGAGCTGGCCACCCAAAGCTCTAGTTTCGGCTGATTCCTGCTGAATTGGCTGATATTCAAGCTGTGGGTGGTCCTGTCAATTTTGCATTTTTTGTGAAATTTTGACTTTTGTAGAAATTTCTTTGCTCCTTGGCTCAATCTAGTGGTGGGAATGCCGTGCAAATAGCATTCATCCAGCATATGGCTGGGCGGAAGGGTTTTATATAGACCCTGAAAATGTTTGTTCATTGTGAAGCAGTAAAAAAAAAAATAATTACTAATATCCCCTAGCAGAAACAACATACATTTTAAAAATAAATCAGTCCATAATTTAAGAAGTAGACAGTTCCAATCAATAGAAATGTGTTCCAGGCAACATTCACAGTCATAATATACAGCGTGCCTCAACCCAAAATTGAAAAAAAAAAATAGCTTAAAAATGGGCGTTCCAGTGCATTTGCCTGCACTTTTAATGCGTTTACATGCGTTCCAGTGCATTACAGACCAGAGAAAATAAGACAAGCAGTATTTTTGTGTCTGGACCAGAACAGACTGCACTGGTGTAAAGAGAGCCCAGAAATACCATAGGAATACATTGGGATGCTTTTCTGGTCCGGGAACAAACTGTTCTGGTCTGGACATGGTGTGAACAAGCCCTAAATGTGGATTGCAACACATATGATCATTGACTGGAACACCGTTTATTTATTTGTTACTTCATGGACCAACATAAATATGTATGTGTGTGTGTGTGTGTGTGTGTGTGTGTGTGGTGTGTGTGTGTGTGTGTGTGTGTGTGTGTATATATTTATTCAGGCAAATAAAAAAATATAAGCTCTTACAAACTTGCTGTTTTCTAAACCAGGAAAAGACTAGCAGATAGGAGAATTCGAAGACACATTATACACCTCTCATTGTTCTATGACCTAAACATCACCATATTAGATCTAAAACAACCTAATCTGCCTGATGATTGGACCAGCTATGGCTGCTTGAAAGAGAAGATTAGCTTATGAAGATATAAAACTTAGTGGAAGCTCACTCCAAGAATAGCTCTATGAACATTAATACGTGTACCTTAATAAATACATAGCGCCATGTTTGACTTCTGTCCACACCCTGGTTGTCCAATCAGCATTAGAGACTGATGGCCATTTACCAGTGACACCATGCAACTCATGGTGTTGCTCAGCCTCCGCCATGCAACCTATGTTTTGTGATTGCAAAGTCTCACTGGGAAACACTTCATCTATGCCTCTATGCCCTGATGCTGACTGCTGGACAATGGGAGCACGGACAGAGGTCAAACGTAGTGCTGTGCATTTATCAAGGCACATGTGCTATTTGGCTGTTTAATGTTCATAGAGTAATTCTAGGGTGAACTTCCACTTTAAGAATTACGGAAAAAAAATATTTACAAGGAAGAACTGAATAGTGTACTGCATCAACCAATCAGACCTCTGCCCTCATTTTCTAATCTACAGTAGAAGAATGACATCTAGGATGTGGACGTGTGCTGTGTTGTTTGAACCTTGTTGTTCCTTTTCTCCAGTGTTTGTAGATTAGCATAAGGTAAACCTTTTATGCCTTTTCAGCAATGTGGCTCCAGTGCCTTCTGGGTCCATGACTGGCCATGCAGATCTCAGGAAAATGATTCCTGAGATACAACTCTTAGGCAATGTGTACAAACTCTTCCTCACTAATACTCTTCACTGGGTCTCTCCAATATGAGAAGTCATTAAACTGCGGAGACAGCAGAGCCGAGAAGAAGTGAGATGACGGAGAAGGGAACATGACATTCACCAAATCACACAGAGCGGAGTACCTGTGAAAATAAAGACCTTTGATAGTCAATAACTGCTTAGAACATAAATATATGTAAAATTTCCTGTAAAAAAAATAAATATATATTTGTATTCCAGTTTCAGTGATATCACTGCTTATAGCTAAATATTATTGTTACCAAGTACTGGCAAATCTGACATGCTTGGAAAACACTCAGGTTATTCATGCCACCTAATGTATTGTAAAGATGACTGCAGGTAAGCCTTGACGTAGACTAGCTTTGCCCAACTTTAGCAGCATCAAGTCTAGTGCAACTTGTCTGATGCACAGAAGTGGAACAGAGTTCCATTGTTAGTCAGGTTGAAAAAAAGACACATGTAGGTAGGTGCAGTATGGCCAACAGCCACTAGATGCCCCCATGGGGCCCTGGATATAGATGTAGCTCTGGCCTGGGGAGACTCTGTGTCCCAGGAGAGCTGATTTATAGGGGGCGCCCGAGAGGGGAGGGGAGAACAGAGAGAGTACCGGAGAGCAGAAGTCTAAGACTTAACTGGTAACAAATTGTTTAGTGCGTTTGTCGTTTGTTTTGTTTTGTCTGGCCGAAGTAAGTCGTGGACTCTGGGCTACACCTGGGCTGTTCTTCTCTCTCTGTAATTTGTATCACTATGCAACTAACAAGAGATGTGCCGTCATCCCACTCGGGGGTGGCTGAAACGTATGCTTATTGTCATGTTCATTCTTGTCAAGTAAAACCAAGAAAATACTATCTGTGTGGACTGGTTCTTCTCCCTCCAACCTCTGAGAAGGTGGGGTTCTGCAAGAATGTGATGTTGGACTGTATCGTGGCTTTAACCATCCTGAGGAGGGTAGGTGTGCCTTTGATGGTGGCCTTTCTCCCTAAGGAGGGTAGGTGTGCCTTTCATGGTGGCCTTTCTCCCTAAGGAGGAGGAAGCGCCGAATACCGCAGAGGCGGTGGAAGCCATGAGGGCCCTGTGTGCGCAGTACTACACCTGTGGGAGTTGTTTGCACGAGGCTAGAGCCGAGGCCCCTGACCGTGGGGTGCCTGGTGTCGTGTTGCATACACGGGGTTACACAGAGCCAACCCAAAGGGAACTCACACACAACACCCCGAGAGTGAACCCCGCCTACACAGAAGCCCATCAAGTTCAGCCTATGAACGTGATGTTCATAGAGTTGTCCTACCCTTGAACAGCAACTGTACTGTGGAAGTTAGGTCCAAAAAAAGGCAGACAGAGGACAAAGGACCAGTCACTGGTATTGCCTCTGGTCTTCCTGCAGCTTATCTTTTCCCAATTACCGTTTTGCCATGCCTTGTTCAGTGTGATTGTGTGGAGGTGGCCATCTTGTTAGATGAGAAGTGTTTGCCACCTGTTATAGCTGCCCAGCTGATGACTGGTAAAGTAATAAAAAAAAGCAGCAGAAGAGGTGGAGGGAGCACATATCCACAGAATAAATGAAGCAAAAGCAGAGAGATCCTTGCACTGCAGGTCATCAGGTGCGGCATCCTCTCCAGAAAGGAGATACATTGAACAGCACAGTTGTGGCACCACCAAACATGCTTTCATCATTAAATGTCAATTGTGCCTTTCCAGTACCATAAAAAATGTGCCTTTTGTCTTACTTTTGCTCCTTCTTCTAAAAGAAAAATAGCTGTGCCAAGGCTTTCCTATACCTACAGTCACATAGCCATTCAACTTTTGTGTGATATCGTCCAAGGCACTGCTGCCTGTGTCTACAAATTTAAGTCATTTCGAGTGAGATTTGGTGGTGTCATTACTGTGCTGCTCACTGTTCTCCTTCCTGGAGAGGAAGTTGTATCTGAGGACTTGCAGTGCAAAGATCTTCCAACTTTTACTTTATTCATTTATGGATCTATGCTTTCTGCATCTCTCCTGATGCTTCTTGAATATGTCCCCACCAGTGATCAGGGGGGCAGAATCGATATAGGGAAGCAAAGTCCTATTCCTCTACCGTGATGGCCGGTCAGACACAGACACAGAGTGGAACAATCATGAAGGAATGCATTGGAGGTGCTGAATCCAAAGTGGGGCTGACCTCATAGTAAGAAATTACATTTCTGTGTTCCCTATTTTATGTCTTCTGATACAAACACCCAGCAAATTATATACAAGATAGATCATAAATTAATATTTGGGACTTGTTCGGTGTCAGCAACAAGACTATACATTATAGGTTGAACTTGATGGACATATGTCTTTTTTCAACCTGACTAACTATGTAATTATACCCTCCAAATGTTCCAGGTCTTAAAATGATCAAAATGATATTTACATAAAAGGGTACTTTTTCCCATACTCAAGGAATGTTCTAAATGTAATGCTAGGTATGGGAAAAGTACCCCTTTTATGAAAATGTGTGAATAAAATGTTAATCATTTTAAGACCTGGGAAATTTGGGGAGTACAGTCTTCTTAAGGACACATAAAAGTCCCAATTATTGATTTATGATCTCACAGTATGAACTGGAATATATGAAGTGCAGTGGCTGGGAGGTGCTTTTCAACAAAAGAGATTTAGGACCACCACACCAATGGTTGAGGGCCCGAATGTTTGTATTTCACCATAGTATATCCAAAAGAAATAATCCAACACATTTCGGGAGTCTAAGGGAGCGCTTTTATCCGAGCTCAATACACTGATGAAAATTGGATACCAGACTTAACAAGGTTAAAAAGTTGAGACATAGATTATGTGTATTCGTGGGAAAGCCACTGTACTCCACTCCTGATGCTTGCTTTCTTACAGATACCCATGCTCTTTGTTAACACTACTTCCCTTCTAATCTCTTGGACAGTGCAGAACAAAATATGGTAACTCAGTAGTGGGAAAAGATCAGCTGCATGGAGACCCCAGGCAATACGGAGATTAATCTTTTATCCTCTTCTTGCCTTTTTGGACACACCATCCACAGCACAGGTCCTCTTTAAAGTGTGAGTTTACCCAAATCTGATATTTCATTTTTGGTAGATACCGAAGAGTTAAATAACGGCTTCTTTTGCGCCTCAGGGGCTCATGTGGAAAGATCTCTGCTTACAAGGGGCCCATCCTACAGTATGCTCTTTTTCCTCCCACAGTAGCTGGGTAATAGAGATCCTATTCTCTGATTGGAGGGTATTGTTGTCTCAATCAGATAAAAGGGGGTCTGTTCCTGCTAGGTCAAGGTCAGAAACTGGGAAGAAACAGACACGTCTAGTAAAGTCTGTGAGAAAGGTGTAATGGACTTTGCTATAGTGCAAGAACTGTGTAAACCGTCTGGAGAGAAATGGGATTAGGATGTTGTGTGTAATGTGACATTGTTTTATATACTACATGCTCTTGAGTTCCCATGTCTGCACATCTGGCTATTTCTAGGAGCCTGTACTCTCTTTGATGGATATTAAAACCCCACCACCTGTTACAATGTGTTTTTCTTCGTTTTGGATATAGTAACACTAGGTTAAAACTGTCGTCTGTTTTTCTACATTTCTGTTTGTTTTCCCACAGGAGAGATTTCCCCTCACTTCCTCTCCAGGTGACACAGTGTCACCAGCACAGGAATTAAAGTGACCCTGTCAGACCTTACTTTTTAAACCAAAACGTTGCACCAGTAGAGGATAACAAGCAAATTTGACTACTACTACTAGTAGTATCAATTAATGTCTGTGCTGGCCCCTGCTCCTGCCCCTAGACAGCAGGAGGATGGGGCAGGAGCAGGTATAGCTACTTGTTAGAATTTTAGGAAAGATCACTGCTGTAATATGTGTGAACCCATAATGTAAATAAACAGAAGTGGTGGTTGGTGCAGAGTCATAGTAAGCAAAGCAGGAGCGGATATGTAATATGTGCAAACGTGAGGAGGTGTCAATGCTGGCAATATTCCGTGCTCTGCTGTGTGTGGGCTCCTACTATCAGCCTCTCTGCCATGTAATCAGATCAATGAAAAGCCATTCAGTGAGCCTCAAATGTAAATACTACACAGTCATTTGAGTCTGCCATGGGCTGCTGATGTTACTTCTAAGATGGCAGCGCCCATCAGCATTCTCGGACCTGTTTAATATAATGCACATGGCAGTCCTTATAATGAGGCAGTTGCCTCAGGCAGCATGTTATGTGAGGGGGGTGGCAGGTGTGGGTGGGGTGGTAGAGGGGCAGCCAGAGTGTCCCATGTTATTAAGAACTCTTAGCAACCTGTGACGCTCTGTCTGGCTTCCCGTCCAGTTCGCTGACGTCATCGGTTTCCAGGGAGCTGAGCAGGATACTCCAGTTGACATCAGTGAGCTGGGTGGGACCGGACAGTGAGCCGCAGACCACGCGACTCTTTACACAGTTGACCGTCCCACCGCATCCACCCCCCCTTCCCGGACAACCGCTATCAGCAAAGCCCCCCCACCCCCCCAGAGGCACTTACTGATTACAAGATTTAACACATGAAGCAAAGTAGTTTGACAATAAGGCCATGTAGTACATACTGGCATCATTTATACAGATGTGCATGTCTGTGGGAGGGACAGGTGCTACGTGTAGCTGCGTGTAGCAACCTGCACATCTCTATGACAGGACTTTGCTGCACGAGGCTACACGCTGACCTGAAACAGGCGGTCTGCGTCCAAGGGTGTGCATCTATACCTGTATGGTTGTCCAAGTTCAGGTCGGCATGTAGCTGCATGCAGCTGCGCCCTGCCATAGAGATGTACAGACACCGACACGTATGTGCATGCTGTACAGTTGTGCACGTTTGTGTGAATGAGGCCTTAATCTTATGAGAAAATTGTTTCTGATACTAATAGTATGGGGAAAGGGTCTCTTTAAAGAGGAACCTTTCCCACAGAAAAACATACAGCTATGAATCTTGACATTAATTTTAATCGTTACAATCCACAACTTTGGCTGGAGTTGATATGATGAAAAATACCATAAGAGGAGTGGTGAAAGCCCATTATGTAGCAGGCCTGAGATTCTCTAGAGGGTAGTAACAGAGGCAAGAAGTATTATAAACTGTCCCCATGGGAAATAAAAAACCAGCAGGTGACAGCTCACCAGATAAATTACGACTTTTGGGTGGACTGTCTCTTTAAAATGATTGCTATAATGTAAATGGGTGAGACTTATTTCATGAGTGCATAGCAGCGGAACAGATCATGTGTGCAGTGTAAGTGTTGATGCTCTTTGGCAACACATATCTCAGCAACTGGGAAATAAAGTAAAATACATGAGATTATAGAAGCAGGTGAGAGGATCTGGACATTGTGGGAAGCAACATGTGTGACTACATATGGCTGTGATGTTACAGAGCCCCCTCCTTCCCTCCCATAGCCAACAACCCAGAAACTCACGAGGATTTAAAGCCAGAGTTCAGGTCCTGGGTCAGTTCTCCCCTTGGGTTGACGGTGAAGATCCGAGATTCTGGCACCCCGACTTCCCTGTAGGCTAGGACATCCTGCGATGAGTGGGTGATTGGCACGAGTACAGAAGAACGGGAAGATGGAGGGGAAGACAAACAAGGAAATGGTAAGAGGAGGAGAACAGGACTTATTTCTCATGCTATGTTCACATACATTTCCATACACTCCAGCCCCCCCCTCTCTCATCACATTCTGTTTCTGCATACTCCTCTGTAATTGAATTCCTCTCAATTACAGAGGAGTTCCTGAAGCTCTCCATCCGGAATTCATTGATCCTGCAAGGTTCAACTTTCATTAGTCCTCCATTATACATATACAGTATACTGTACAGTGGCCATGCAGCCTGTACACACAGACCTAGTACTAGGTGGTGTAACAAGGACACTCCACTGTAGTCCAGGTAAGTCAAGTATAATGCAGTTTATTAAAGGGCAAACACAAAATAGCTTGCAGCAACATAAGACAGTCTTTTATATGGCTCAGTAGCTTTCCACAGCTCCAAGACACTCACGCTGCTCTCTTAGCAGTCTGTACCACAGGTCCTAGGGTCACCGACCTTCCTGACCTCTCCCCTCGTGGGCACTCACTCTGCTCTCTTAGCAGTCTGTACCATAGGTCCTAGGGTCACCGATCTTCCTGACCTCTCCCCTCGTGGTCACTCACTCTGCTCTCCCAGCAGTGCGTCCGACAGGTCCCTGGGGTCACCGACCTTCCTGACCTCTCCCAGCCACCCCTGGCTGTTCCGTGTGCGTCCAGCACGCACCCGAGGTGGTCTGTGTCCGTGTGCTCCCTGCACACACACAATTCCAACACTCCCCTGAGCACTGGGCTGGCTTCCTAATAAGGCTTTCTAGATGTTTTCTTTATTTATTATGGTCAGCGCTAAAAAACATCATTTAAAAAACTTTTTTTTATAATAAAACAGTAATATACTGCATATTCACATTTTGTATTCTCTCCAGCCATCAAGTGGAGCTTTTTCTTGTAATAGAAAAACTGTTGTTTACAGAGCTCAGAAGCTCAAGCTGAAATTTACACACACAATTGAATGAGTCAGAGCAGCGATTCCCATTCATGCAGTAGATGTAAGAGTTAAACCCACTCAATGTGTATTCACCTTCACTCCTACTGTGTATTCTTAAATCTGTCACCTTGGTTACCTTTTACTTACATTGGGTCGATTTCCAAAGGCAGCATGAAAAGGACTGGGGTCAGTGAAGAGTTGGTGGATGTCAGAGAGACAAGCAATCTTAAAGTGCTCTGGAGTCTTTTCTATCACTTCCCTGCAAGAGAGAATAATCAGATAAATAAGATTTTTTTCCACTATACAAACCTCATAGTACTTTGCGATCCCACAGTTCTGTAAACATGACTCTTTTGTAATATAAAATGAGGGAGCCTGTGCCAAAATATCAGGATTCTAACTGGTTGCTATAGGCAGGTAGTTGTTTCCTCCATTTCCAAAAAATCATTCATTTTGTCACAGATAGGATGTGTGATCATGTGACCAGCCTCTCCTCTAATGTGGGGTACCCCCTGCAGCATTATACAGAGAGCAGCCTATGGAACATAGCAGGCTCCACACTATGATCTGCATTTTATGAATGAACTCAATAAGCATCCTCTGCTATTAATAGACCCTCTGGGACTCATTTATTAGGAGATATAGTAACTTTAAAGATCAATTAAGGTCAGTAGGAGCTCAGTCTATGCCTTGCTACTATTCCTCCATATAAGTCAATCTGACAATATAAATGCAGGGCAAATGCACAGTGAACACATCTTGAAGACATCTAAAACACCTGTGAAAGCAAGCCCCAAAATTGAAGGAGATTTGGAGATATACAGCACTCCTTGAGATTTAAAACGCACCTTGCACCTGAAAAAGCAAGGTCTGCTTTTTTTTTAATGTGGCCCCCTTGGTGAAACGCTGAATGAAACTTAAAGTAAAGTAAACACACCTGGAAAAAAGTTAGATAATATACTCAACATTCCCCCCACATTTGCCCACAGTGCCTTGGCGAGGGTGACATCATCCTCCTTCCAGTGAGATCCAGGGAATGTAGAGTAGTCCAAATCTCACCAAGAAGATGATTCATGTGTTAGGTTATTTGTAGTTTTATTCAGCGTTTCAGGCAAGTGAAGCCATATTTAAAGAAATTATAGCCTATAACTGGGTGGAAAAAAAACTACCCTTGCAGTGCGGCTACCCCCGTACTGCAAGGATCTACTGCTCGTCTAGTAGTAAGTCTAGGGGTATGGTGTAAAGCACTTTTACTTACCTGATACCCGCTCCTTCGGCAATTGGCACTCTCCCCTCCGCTCCAGCTCGTGGACTGGGACCTGCATTAGATCTGAAGACGTCAGCTTGCCTCCAACCACCAGAGCGCAGGGGGGAAGAGGCTGTGGGTGGCAGTCTTGGAGTGGGGATTAGGTAAGTAAAAGTGCTTTACATAGCTCCCCTACACAGAAACAAGCAGTTAACCCTTGCAGTAAGGGGGCAGCTGCACTGCAAAGGTAGTTTTTTTTTTACAAGCTATAGGCTTTAATTTTATGACCCGGCTAAACATCTTTTTAGTTTTGGATAGAGTAGAAAAGGATTAGAATTTGTCAGGTTTTGATTTTTTTCCTATGACTTTACAGGTACGATTTCCTCCCCTTTTATGTCCCACTGACAACCCTGTGACACCCGAACAAGAAATGCAGGACTGGGGTCACTGGGACAGGAAAACACAGACAACAATACAAACTTAAAAGAGGGTCTAACCTATTCTCACTGTACTAGAAATTGTGTTTTTGTTCATGTCTCTGTTCCCATTGGAGTCTTTCTGTATCCTTAAACCCCATCACCAGATTAGGAAAGGATATCTCCATAATGGTGTCACAGTCAGCAATAAAAATCAGAGAGCGCTTCTAACAATTCTCCATGCCATGCAAAACCGAAAGAAAAGTTCTGGTTGGAAATGTGGTCTTCTAGCCTTCTCCTGGAGAGACCAACAGCAGAATCAGTTTCAGTGCAGGGGCATTACAAGCACTAACCTTTTATTGTTATTGTTTCAATTTTAATAAATCAGCCGTATAAGTAGATGTTTGATCCTGTCAGCAGGTTTGTATGTAGACATCATGCTGCTCTAGGCACAGATGAATAATATTGCCCCGAACAACTGCTGCCCTTGAGCAAGTTCCGTCCTTGCATCATATAACTAATTTAATAAAAAATACTATGAATATGTACTATTGGAGGTAGCACGGCATCTGCTTTATATGTAGGACATCTCTACAGCTGTACAGAAAACCAAACAAGAAAAAGGAGAGCTGGATTCATCTTTCTAGAATGGCTTTGTGACTCGTCCCAACATCCCCTTCACCCCCTTCCCGTTACATTTTTATAGCTGAATTTAGCTACAAAATATCCAGATTTGGACAGGAGAGTCAAAAAAGGAAACAAAGTATGACAACTTGTACATTTTGAGGCTTAGCGCTCCCTCTCGTCACATGTGACATGGCAGATGACATTCCTTAAAGTTGCCAATTGTGTAGTGAAGAGTAGAAAGTGTTTTGGATAGGTCTCTGGCTGTACTCACCTATGAAGGGCTGTAAACAGGCTGCTTGGAGACAACAGGAGAGGACCTGGTGGTAGCATGTAGCCTCCTTCACTCACCCCCAGGAGGAAGGTCTTAGTAATATCAGCCAATCCCACAGAGCGTGCAGAACAATAGAGGAACTTGTAGTCATTCCTGCGAGAGGAAACAGGACATCGATCATCCGAACGAGAAAGAGGGAAAACTGGCATGTAAATAATATTTCTCTGCACAGCTCTGAGATTTGTTGCTGAAATCTTTCATCCCAAAAGTTTGTCCAGCTACGTTAAGAATCCATACATCTCAATTTTATAGATGCTCTTCTCATCATCTGTTAATTCAAATCTTTACTTCAGTAAAAAAAAAATACTAATGGACATCAACAGAGTTATAAAGTTAATAGTATACCAAGGAAGTAATGTGTGGTTCAAATCAATTCACCAGCAAATATGCAGCAAATGTTCAATGATAGTGATAGTACCATTTATTGCTTTATAATGATGCCCCTAGGAGTTTTTTGATCACATAGTCTCTGTTGAAAGGTCAGAGAGGTTAGCCACTCTGAACTCTGATCTTCCACAGAGATCACCTGACTGAATGCGTAGGCTTTTGGCTAAATGACCACCAATGGAGGGAACCAAGAGCCGCTCTTTCTTCAGGAAAGCCACTTAAATACCCTTTACTAATGGATCTCATAAAACCACTAACATAGCTTTAAGTTCACATTTCAGCAGAGGTCCAGTTTAAAGCGGAAACGATTTAAATATATTTAAGCTCTTAGCATAGCTATGGGTCTAAGTCAGGTGCGTAAAGACTCCAAATGCAGATTTGTGAATTAATGTATTGGTTCCTTGGATTATAAACCATGTCATACGCGTTGATCATTTCTATATATCTTCCTGTATGTTTGTCAAGTGACACGTGGGCCTCATTTTTAAACGATCCAAAACCCATTTCTCTTTTCCTGTTTGTTCTAGTCATGGCTAAATACCAGCTGCTTGAAATACCCCGTGGCTCCTCATTTCTTATGTGTAGTGCCATGCTGAGATACTCCCACTGCAATCAGTACTGATAAAAAGCAAATGGCAGAGTGATGCCCCCTTTTTAATGAGTACTGCATGGACTTGATGGACTAATGTCTTTATTCAACCTCAAATACTATGTAACTATGTAACTGCAGGTAGGGGTAGCTGGGAACCTGGGTGGCTTGACTGCCCCACCAGAGTCCCTGGGAGATATAGGAAACTGAAGGATAATTCAGATTGCTTCAGCTCTCCAAACTTAATCTATCAGAGTTGTGTGAACTGACCTTTTACAAAGGCTTTACATCCAAGAATACATATTCAAAGGTAAGTAGGCCTTATTTCGTAACTAATGTCTTTATTGCTCAAGAACTCATCAGATTTAAGCCTATATTGCATCTTAAAATAAATGGAGCTTTACCCCTGTTAGGTTGGTTTAAATTAAAAATGATACCCGATGATGTTAATATAAAACAAAACAGACACATTAGGGAAGCTGAAGAATGAGATGCATTACGTAAAAGCCAGGCACAGGAGCAGGAGACGGTATGACAGTGCTATAGCTATGATACTGACTTGTGGATGGCGTTATAGAGCTGAACAATCCCTGGCTGAGTCCAGTCTTTTCCCAGCTGCGGTAAAATGTGACCGAGGGCATCTGACCTGAAGATGGAGAGATGAATGATAGGTAAATGTAACATGGAAACAATTTGTAGAAAATGATTTGTGATACCAACATGTACCATGGTAAAGCTGGTCTTACACAGAGTAAATGTCAGTCAATTGCCTTCATAATACAGGAGAACATTATATATGCTGAAAACTATCATAGACAAAGTTGACATGCCATTGTTCGATGAAACGTCAGCCAGAGCGCTTGTCATGTGTGAAATGTTATGTGTGTATGGCCAAATCTGCTAACATTTGAATGAAACAACGTGCCTGGGGCTAAACAGCTGTAATCTAAACAATACATAAGGTTTTATTTATTCCTATCAGATGCTGAATCACACTATTGCCATGCTTATGGACCTGATGTAAAAAGCATGCCTGTTCTCTAGATCTGGAATCTCATGGGAGCTATACCCCCAATGTTACATAGTTACATAGTATTTGAGGTTGAATAAAGACATAAGTCCATCAAGTCCAACCTATTGTGTGTGTGTGTTGTTAACAACCATTGCACTAAATATAATCCAGTGCGAGAATATATTCTAAGAACGCAAGTAAACCACAGAGCTGTGAAGAACGTATACATGTGTTTACATTTTTTTAAGATGGAGGTCAGGTCAGTGTGCTGACCTCCTTCTTGGAAAAACCTAACATACTAGTAACAGTCTACTTTCTGCAGGAGCATGCAGAAGAAGCATTACATCTAACGCAACTCATTTTGCTTATGTAGCTGCTCTGCATCTTCAAGCAGTGATGAGCCCCCAGACTCGAGCACATGATAGACCTGGCTGTGATGGATCCATCAACATCATCTCATTACATATTTTTTCCAAACAGGGAGTCTCCAACAATAGATCCTTCTTACAGTGCCACTCACCCCACTGGGTTGGCCCAGGAACTCCACCCTAAGAAGTCTACTCTAAAATCTGGTCCATGATCTTGATGAATTTTCTAGCACTTCTCTTGGGGCCAGGAAGTCTTTTATTGTCACATAATTTAAAATAAAGAGTGTCTCATGCTGCATAGGCAAGGTGTCCTGTGACTATCACACCATCAAAAATTATGGCTGGCTACCACACCATCCAATGAGTTCCACCACATGAAGCCAAAGCCTTGAAGAAGGTCCAGTTTGTTGGACCTCTGAAATACGCTGGTTGTTTTATACTTTCCTGCTGTAAAATGATAGTGTTATTAAAACTTATTGGACTTTTTGAATGTTTGCTTGGCACTCTTATTGGTCTATCGATATGGGTATTCTCAATCTGGGTGACCCCCCACCCAAGGGAACCCAATTTTGTAGAGTGCTGCCAAACTGGAGCCTAAGTGTTGACTTTAATACAGAAAAGAGTGCTGCTCCTCAGCCTGGTGGGTGCTCACCCAACTTGTCTCCAGTCAAATAGAAAAAGATAAGGATAGCTCTCTTATTCTACAGTTTCTACAACAAAATAGTACCATGTGATCCTGCCATGGAGGGTCTCTGCAGGTGCTTCCTGTTATAGGGTGACAACGTTCTGTCTCTCAGTTGCGCCTGCCAGGCTGCCACATGGGTCTCTGGTGAAAACTATAAGCGGCCATGCTAATGCTCATTGCACAGGCATGGTCCACTGTTATAAAACCCACTGTGAAAATGCCATCTGTAATTGTTGGAGTGTATGTATATAAACATGAACTGGCTGTATAGAGGCTGCATGAGACCAGCAGCACTGAGATGCAACTAAGGAAGAAGGCCATAACAAGGGTTTTTCTTTTTTAACAAATACAGCAATTGATTATGATACATTGTGCTTTAGCAGAATAATGGTTATGCAGTTAGGGTTTAGATCGACTTTAATCACAGAGCCGACTAGTAGTCATTATAAGATCATAATATAATATATTGACCTTCACAGGTAATGAAGAGTCGAAGTACAGGTGCATACACAGGACACAGATTTTGTATTGGGCTTTGCAATCTGCTATATCTGGTGGGCTTTAGGCTAAAACAAGCTGTGGGCCACCATGAGAAGAATCTTGTGTCTCTGACCTGGTCACTGTTCCATCGATGTCGCTCACAATAATGCGGTCTGTGCTATCCCACAGGAAGATTTGCGCCCGAGTGCGACATGTGCCTTGAAACTTGGTGCAGACGCTAAACACAACGTCATTTGCTCCGCTGTGTAAGTTTAGACTTGCCTGGAATGAGATAGATAATCTGAGCAAAGTTAGCACAGAAGAGGCCTGGTCTGGTATAGAGGAAGGATCAAGGCCGGATTTCCCACAGGGCCAATTGAGGCCTGGCCTCGGGGCAGCAGGGAGTAGAGGGGCAGCAGAGGTTTGGAATTCCTACCCCCGATGCCCGGAACATGCAGTTCTGGGCGCTGGGCGGGTAGTTGTTTTCTACATTTAGCTCTGCTGTGGGCAAGCAGGGCTAAATGTCCAGCGGGGGAAGCCGGCACGTTTTTTGTACAAGCGATGTCGCAGAGATCACTTGTATGCAGCCTGCATACAGGGGGGCGCATTGAGAAACCTGACCTTGGGGCAGCAAAGAGAGTAAATCTGGCCCTGGGAAGGGTGCTTGCTGACTGCAGTACAGAGGACATTTATGCAATCAACAGGGCTTACAGTTATACTGTATATATATAGACACTGTAGTGATTGAATGTAATTAGATTTAATTTAACTGTAATCATATCTGCAAAAGATGAATTGTGATCTGAGAGTTGCAATGATTGAAAGTGGAACTCCGGTAATTTTTTTTAGTTTTATATAGAACAAAAAAGAGTTGGAACTTTTATCGGGATTTCATTGCTGTGTCTAAGTTGGGAGGATAAATGTCATAAATCTTGTAGCACTCCTTACCGGAAATCTCTAAATATTAATGGGTGCTCGAAATGACAGTGGATGGCGCCGCACACAGAACAACTTGAGATATAGACGTCATCAGCACACCAGCACGACAGAAACTTGTAAGTAAATGCAAATCCATTTATTTGATAGATGCCACTCGATATCCTGAGTGGCATCTATCAAATAAATGTATTTGCACTGACTTACAAGTTTCTGTCGTGCTGGTGTGCTGATGACGTCTATATCTCAAGTTATGTTGGGAGGATTTCTCCTCACTTCCTGTACAGGTGACCACAGTTAGCACAACAGGAGGTAATAGACATAGCAAAAGCAAACAGACATTCCAACCCTGCCATAGTTACATAGTTGTTGAGGATGAATAAAGACACAGGTCCATCGAGTTCAACCTTTGTAAGTGTATGTATGTGAGCCATATTCCATTCAAAACTATTCTTATTGCTGCCTGCGCCCCCACTGAAGAGATTTCTGGTCACCAGGAGAGGATTTAAGGAGAATAAGGCAAATTGCCTTATATTTGCATTGGGACCGCATTGGGCAACACAGCCCAGTGCTGCTGGTATGAATGGACACTAAAGTTGAACTCTAGGCAGATATAAAAGACATATGTTTAATCATCTTTATTTACCACATAAAACAGTGATTCCCCTCCTCTCCTGTCCGATCCTCCAGCGCTGACTGGCGGAACGGACGGGGGAGGGGGCGGGTACAGCTGGCTCTGCCTCTAGATAGGCAGAGCCAGCTGTCAGTCACGCAGCTGGGCGGATCCCGGCACAATTGTCGGGATCCGCTTCAGCTGCAACGTCTCAGTATACCGCAAGCAGCAGCTCGCGGTATACTGCGGCGTCTCAGTATCTCGCGGTATACTGAGCCTAGGGTGACGGGAGGACGCTAGTTTGTGTCCTCCCGTTACCCTGAGAACTATGGGGAAAAGCCTTAACCCCATAGTTCTCCTTTAAAGGCATTTATATAGTGCCAACAATAAACGTAACGCTTTACATACTGTACAATCACAATTGTCTCTAGCCGCAAGGAGCTTACAATCTAAAGCTGGCCAACCACAGCTCAAATTTTGTTCAATTCATGCTGAATTAGATACAATTTGAGCTGTGGGTGGCCCTTTCGGCCCCACCTGGTTCAACATTCACCAAAGGAGCCAAATGAAATACAATTGGCCGAACAATGACTGCAGCCAATGTTTGAGTATTAGAAAGTGGCGGGCGCCGGCTGGCAGAATACAATGGCCCAATAGGGGAGATTTGTCCAGCCAAGCTATTTAGCATAGATGGAGGAATCTTTTAGATTTTGTATTACGGTTAGATTTTTAACACCTTTAATCTGCAAACAGCATTGAGAGAACACTGAAAACAGAACAAGTATACAGTGTACAGCTACAAGTCTATCTCTTACTATCTGCTCAGATGTCAGACGTAGGGATTTCTGATATGGACAGAGCTGTACTGGAATTGCTGGGGGTACTATAGCAACTTCCACATTCTCCTCTGACCTAAGTAAAAAAAAAAAAAAGGAGCCACATCAAAGAATCAAATCTGTTATCAAGAGGAAAGACAAGTGAAGAAGAGAAAGAGATACTGATAAGGTGAGTAAAGAGGACCAGGAATGGAGAGCAAAGAACGATTAAAACCAACACTCACCTCCTGAGGCCAGGGTCTTCATTCTCTTCCACATAAACCTTAGGATCTGATACTGACTGCATGAGGAGCGGAGTGATGGAGAAAGTATGTGGGAAGAGTAAGATAGGTAGCACGGTGAGGGGGTGTGTGGTGATGTACACATAAACAACAAGGGCGGTTTAAAGCCAAAACCTTTTCTTCCGTTTTGGATAGAGTGAGGAAATGTTAAAACCCCTGTCAGGTTTTTATTGCTGTCCCGGCTGGGAAGATTCCCCCTCTCTATTTGTCCTGATGGCCACTAACAAAGAAATAGAAATTGATGGGAAATTCAACATTTTAGAGTTGTCACCAAAACACAAATAAGAATAAATGGAGAAATCTTCCAACGAGTACAACTGTTGCAGTGACAACTGTCTAGGAGGAGATTTCCCCTTGCTGTGGAGAGATTTCCTCTTCCTTCCTGTTGTCTCCCTGGGACAGGAAGTGAAGGAAGATCTCCCTGATGGGACAGCAAAAACAAATAAATAAATCTTAAGGGATCTTAACCTTTTCCTATTTTAGACAAAACATAAAAAATATTTGGCTTCACGTGCACTTTACAGCTAGAACAAATCAACAGCATAAAAAAAGTATTAAAATAGCAAATACCTATATATATATAGGTATTTGCTATTTTAATACTTTTTTATGCTGTTGATTTGTTCTAGCTGTAAAGTGCATATATATATATATATATA